TCTCTCCTTCCCTCAGCTCACCCCACACTGAAATAGAAGGGGGACAATGATATGTCATACTTCACACACACACTCGTATACAATTATTGCACACAAAGACACACAAACACTGACGCATTCACACACTTGTGGAGCTTATCCAAATTTCATGGCTGCAAGTTGTGTGGACGTCAGAGGCAAAAATATATTATTGAAGAAAGTAATCTTGTCCGACTCTCAGCTGGCACTTTCCCCTTTCCACTGTCATTAGATGCTCTCTTTGCTAGACTCTGTCATGCCACCTGACTTTAGCTGTTAATGACTATAGCCTCACTTCATTCCCCCATTCTCCTCAGTCACTTAAGCACTTTAATGAACCACCTGTACAGCGTGTGCGTGTATCTTCGGCTGTGTATGTGTATTTGCGTGTGTGTCTGTGCAATAGGCCTACTTCAACTGCCCGAGGGTTGCCCCCTGTGTATATGAGCCAATTATCTTTACTTACTTCTCTCCTAACAACTACTTTGAAATGAGCACAGAGAAGGTAGAATAGAGACAACTCTGGCAGCCACAAGGAAGATGTTTGTGCGAGAGGCCACAGGTTCAAGCCAATCATGGAGATGACTCTGGCAAAGAAATGTGGATTGCATTTTGATAGTTTAATTATTTGTTTATTTATTATATTCTGCAGTGGACATTGGGCAGTAGTGCTGGTCACTCCTTGACCTTTCAGATAAATCCCACTTTTTTAAAAATTATTTCTGCAGTGGAGTTTTAGAAAGGATGGTTGAAATTGACATCATGTATTGTTACTATTTTTGACAACACTAAACAAAATTTAAAAAAAAAAAGAAATGAAAATGATAAATAAAGTATGTAACACAGATTTTCAGGTTGTGAAGCAGCCATCGGTGTTCCTGGAGACTGTACCTTAAAGACAAAGCATGTAGCAGCACCAACATGTGCGTTGCAAACATGAAATATACCTATCTCTCCTTCTTGGAGCTTCGACATGATAGACGGTCTCTGGGGGATCTCTTGCCTTCCCTTTAGTAAGACACGTTGCATTAAACCCCTCAGCACATCAGTGGTTGTATTCATGAGTGAGAGCGAGAGCTTGTCATGTTAGCTGATGCCGATCAGATGATGTTGTGCGTGACTAGTATGCTCTGCCAGAACCAACACGGTGCTGCATTAGTCAAGATATTCATATCAACGTTAAATCCCATGACTTTAATCATATGGCTGCGTGTAAATTGAAAGTGGTCACTCATAATGACAGAACCCTCGACATTTTCACCTAACTCTGCAGCTCCATGAAGCTTTTTCCAGCTGAGATAAACCATTGTGCGCTACCCTCCCAGCAACATCAAGCAGTCTACAGAACCAGATATTTTAACCTGCATTATTTTTGCCATTAGAAGTTTGCACGAGGAACTGTAAACACAGCATTAACATATTATTCCCTTATATAGTTAATATGGCAAGTATTATTCTTTGGAGCGTTGGCAATACGAGTCCAATATTCAGTCTCGCTCAAGCTCTGCTTTAGTCTCAACTGATTCCTGAGAAGAATATCTGTTTCTCAAGCTGCTAAACACTCCACTGTGTGTGTTTGCTAGATTCAGTTTTTCAGTTGTTTTGATTTTATATATTTAGTTTTAGTTTTCCAGTAGTTATAGTTTGTTGTTGTTAGGGCCAGGTATAACGTTTCATAGTATATATTCATACAAAATAAGTGGTTGGAGAACCGTGTAGGAACGGCCATAATGTTTAAATCTTTTGATTTTACTCTACTTATTTGACCAGTAACATCGTCTCAGTTTGATTTGAGTTTTTTTGGATATTACTCTTATTTATTAGTTAACGACAATATTTTTCACTGCTTTTTTTCAGTTTTAGTTTAAGATAATAACCCTGCCTCAAACCGTCAAAAGACCAGTGAATGTTTTTAAAAGCCCAACTTTTTGCCTCAACTGAAAGTAGTAATTGGACTGTCTCTCAAGATTGTTTTTCAGACACGCTCGCCCAGACCTGCCTAATTAAGCCCACACAAACCTCTGGCAGTTTCTCATCACTTTCGCTGTACTCTGGCCTTTTCTAATAAACTTGAGGTCTTAACAGGGTGTGGTGGCGTAGCTGACAGTAATGCCTTTGTTTATGCTGCTCTCCATGTCACTTTCAAATTACCCGAACACAAGAGGCAGCAGTTGCAATCCACTGGAACCTCTGTTTAATAAACAGAATTCATTCCCTCTGTCTCTCAGCATTGCCTGAGGTAGGGACTGGGTTGTGCCGCGTTGTTGAACGCATAGTCAGATTGAAGTGTCCCAGCTTGTAATATTCCTCCTCCTGTTGTTTTTTCTCTCTATATTTGGATATCAAGTGTCTGTCTTCTGTTTAATTATTCAGGTTATTTCTTTGACATGCAAATATGTTCACATGGGCACACGGTATTAACGTTTTCTTCAATAATAACTTTATTCAGCCTTATATCAAGAGAACCATCTACCAACACACAGAAGCCCGACAGATGGCAAAAATCCAGCCACGTTTAATACTTTGACTGGTCGACACGTCAAACAATCTAATTCCATCTATTGGGCCGTTTCATGGCTCCACAACAAATTCTAAGATTAGGCCAGTGTCAGCTCTCTAAGCAAACACACACATACGCTGTGTGTGTATTTATTTCCTCTCCATACTGATGGTGTTGCCAGGCTTGCAATGTCTCTGAGGTGTTTGCTTGGATAAAGGTCAGTTGAACAATTAACCTTGTGTGACGAGTGAGGAAGCAATGTAAACAACAGGACAGCGGCCCCTCAGTAACAGACAGTCTGCGCCCAAACAAACACAGATGTATATAGCTATACGCTTGGCACAAAGTCACCCGGGCTTTGATTTGAGCTGCTTCATGGCTTTGAGCTTTGAGGTATGGGACCCACTTCATCATATCCCTAATGCCCGTCTGACCAGCAGACTAAATCTGACAGAAAACCAACAAAACAGAAGATCTGCGTGTGCTTCGAGCCCTTGAAAAAGGACAATACAGCTGCAGCCAACAGCTTGGAGGCACATTAGCTCTGTTATTGAACACCTGCTGGGCTGCAGCAGAGCTCTGGCTTCCAGTTCTCTGGGGTATCTGAGAGCTGAAATCTATCTGGAGTTAGTGGAGGGATGAATGGGATTTGAAAATGAAAACACCTGGAGGAGATTTTATTGAAATTAATAAAATATTTGATAGAGACTAGGTTTATCGGCTGCTATAGTCATAATAGGATTACAACATTTCACACTCTTCATTATCAGGATACGCACCTGTTGAATAATATGTGGCAAAAAATGCACAAACTTGTATTTCCTCATATCTCTTCCAAATAATATGCATTACTGTTATTGGAAGTTTACTGAAGTCAAATGGAGACAGTGAGCTGACGCAACAATCATGCCCCCATTTATACGCCACCCCTGTCCTTCACTCTCTGTGCTGCTGGTCTATAAGGGACCCAACACTACCACCCCGTGACTTCAGACTCCCCGCTGGTGCTCAGTCCCCGACTCCCTCATGCAGAGATATTTGCAAGAATCTGCTCATACATCAGCTCAAGCCGGCTGTGACGTTTGCATAAAAACTTCTCATAATAATAATTTTAATAATCCTAAACATATTTACTAAATTCAGCTATGCTTTGTGTTTAATTCATATCGGTATTTCCATATTATCCGGATCTATAAGTAAGAATGCACCGATCTGACTCAGGACTTCAGTCCCGATACCGAAACCTGTGCTTTGGGTGTTTGCCAGTACCTAGTACTGGTCAGATATCAGTGTGGAATTGACTGGGATCATGTTGTGTAAGGCAACATCAGGCTTAACATCAATTTAGTTTGTAAATTTAAATGTAACAAATAAATACATAAATATACATTTACTGTATTGTTGTATACTATTAAGATAATAAATCATGCATCAGTAACTTGGTTAACATTTTTGAAAATTAACTATAATTACAATTCAGTTCTAGTATATAATGTATATACATATAGAATTGAACTGAATAGATTCAACCTAATGTCACCGATACCCGACCCAGCTATTTGAGTCTGTATCAGCCCGATATCCAATATTGGTAACGGTATGAGTAGGTGTGAGAACGCCAACTGTACATGCATGCACATGGAGAGGCACAGCAGGTCTTTTCTGTCACATTTAGAAGCTTTTATTCCCTTCCATTTCCTCCTACACTGCACTACAGTATGCTTCGCTATGGAGTCAGCGTGCAGGAAACTGCTCCACGGGGAGTTGATCTCCAAAGTAACAAGACGGCGAAGTCTGAGAAACTCTGTCCCCCACACAAAGTACAGTCGGTGGCATCATGGCCTTTGTGTTCAAAGGTCATACTTCTGCTCTTTCTCTCCTGCCTTTTAAACTATAATCATTGTGACACCAAAATAAAGAACCACACACCTACATGCTGCATTTTTTCACTTAGGTTTTGCATTGTCATTAAAGCTTCAACTTGTTAATACAAACTCTGTAGACTCTTACTGTACACTCACAGTTTTACTCGCTGTAAGAAGTCTGACACTTACTCCCTCTTTACTGGATCCTGTCCTCTCTCCCTGAGCATCTCTCTGCTGTCATTTCTCCTCATTGGCCCACTCATTTTTACATCTTAATGTATGCATGCGTGTGCGTGTTTGGTTGAGATTTGAGTGTGTTGGCTCGGGTGCACGTCTGTTTGGATAGAACTAATCCATCCCGAGAGATACGGGAAATAATAGAAACTTCATTCAGGATTTATGAGGGACGCATAAACACAAGTTCACACTTACTCACACAAACGCACACACATGGTTTGATCCTGTTAGCTGCTCAGTGTTTGAGTCGCTTGCTATTACTCTCGACTGCAAAAGCTATCTATTTATATTTTGAGAGATGTTGTACTTAAGTCCCCCACACACACACACACACACACACACACACACACACACACACACACAC